TGTGTCTTTTATCTGACGTTCCCATACATTCATTAAATAACATATGGCAATGCCCAGCTTATATATTTCAATAAATTTATTTTAGTTTTGGACTGACTCTTTTAAGTCAGAACATGATTTGACCTGTTTAAAACAAAATACATTTAATATTGAATATACCAAGTAAACTTTTTTATAGTCCTCATTATTGTGACTTATGGCTACCTTATTTCCTCTGTCTTTTATCTGGCTCACCTATATATTTTTAAATCAATATGACAATACTAGACTTAAAAGTTGTAATAAGTTAAGTTTTGTTTGACTCTTTGAAGTCAGAACATGATTTGACCTGTTAAAGTCAGTTTACAGTACAAAATTTCCAATCAAAACTGGTCTTTTTCTCTAAGCCCCCCCCCCCTAATCTGAATCTGCTACTGTTGAGTTAATTAATTGATAAGTTTGTTTAGAAACAATTCAGTCAAATGGTTTTAAAATAATATTTTTTATAACCAAAAGTTCCATATGTTAAATTAACAGAAAAAAAAGTCATAAAAATGCAGAAATAGAATAAAATTTTAAGATAATTTGATGAAATTTGTAAACAAAATACATTTGAATATTAAATATACCAAAGAAACTTTTTTATAGTCCTCATTATTGTGACTTTATTATTGGGTGTCTTTTATCTGATTTTCCCATACATTCTTAAATGCATATGACAATTCCAGACTTAAAAGTTGCAATAATTAGTAAAAGTATAGTTTTTGACTGACTCTTTGAAGTCAGAACATAATGTGACTTGTTCAAGTCAGTTTGCACAACAGGAGTTACCTCAATGAAATATTAAGATATCAGATATATACCAAATTAACTTTTATATAATTCTAAAAATTGTGACTTAATATTTGTGATCTTTTTTCCTACTTGTATCCATACATTCTAACAATCACATCACAATCATGACAATGCCCGACTGTTACAGTTGCAATCCATTTAGTGTTTGACAGACTCTTATAAGTCAGAACATGATTTGACCTGCTTGAGTCAGTTTACAGAACACAATTTCCAATCAAAGCTATGTGTTCTTCCTCTTAGTCCCCTTCTGAATCTGCCACTGTTGAGTTTATTAATTGATAAGTTTTAAGAAACAATTAAGTCAAATGGTTATTTATCTTAGAGGATCTTGCATGTATTTCGTGTGTATTTTATCTGACTTTTCCATACATATCATTAATATCATATGGCAATGCCTGACTTAAAAATTTCAATAAATTTAGTTTTTGACTGATATTTTTAAGTCAGAACATGATTTGACCTGTTTAAGTCAATTTGTCAGAACATAATTTGACCTGTTCAAGTCAGTTTGCAGAACAAAATTTCCAATTAAAGCTAGATGTACTTCCTTTAAGCCCTGCTTCTGAATCTGCCATTTTTGAGTTTATTATTTGATAAATTTTTAGAAACAATTAAGTCAAATGGTTATTTATTTTAGAGGATCTTACATATATTTCCTATGTCTTTTATCTGACGTTCTCATACATTCATTAATATCATATGGAAGTGTCCAACTTTAAAATTTCAATAAACTTAGTTTTGGACTGACTGTTTTAAGTCAGAACATGATTTGACCTGTTTAAAACAAAATACATTTAATATTGAATATACCAAATAAACTTTTTTATAGTCCTCATTATTGTGACTTTAGGGGACCTTATTTCCTCTGTCTTTTATCTGGCTTTCCCATACATTTTTAAATCAATACGACAATACTAGACTTAAAAGTTGTATTAATAAGTTTAGTTTTGACTGACTCTTTGAAAGCAGAACATGATTTGACCTGTTAAAGTCAGTTTACAGAACAAAATTTCCAATCAAAGCTAGGTGTTCTTCCTCTAAGCCCCCACCCCCCCCCCCCCTAAATATGAATCTGCTACTGTTGAGTTAATTAATTGATAAGTTTTTTTAGAAACAATTCAGCCAAATGGTTATTAAAATTTTATTTTTTGGGCAACCACAAGTTCTATGTGTAAACTTAACAGAAAAGAAAAGTCATGAAAATACAGAAATAAAATAAAATTTTAAGATAATTTGATGAAAATCTTTAAAAACAAAATGCATTTGATATTGAATATACCAAATAAACTTTTTTATAGTCCTCATTATTGTGACGTAAGGGGACCTTATTTCATCTGGCTTTTATCTGGCTTTCCCATACATTTTAAAATCAATATGAAAATCCTAGACTTAAAAGTTGAAATAAGTTTAGTTTTGTTTGACTCTTTGAAGTCAGAACATGATTTGACCTGTTAAAGTCAGTTTACAGAACAAAATTTCCAATCAAAACTAGGTCTTCTTCCTCTAAGCCCCCCCCCCCCCTTTCCCTTTATCTGAATCTGCTACTGTTTAGTTAATTAATCATGTTAATTGATAAGTTTTTTTAGAAACAATTCAGTCAAATGGTCTTTAAAATAATATTTTTTACAACCAAAAGTTCCATGTGTTAACTTAACAGAAAAGAAAAAGTCATGAAAATTCAGAAATAGAATAAAATTTTAAGATAATTTGATGAAACTTGTAAACAAAATACATTTGAATATTACATATACCAAACAAACTTTTTTATAGTCCTCATTATTGTGACTTTATTATTGGGTGTCTTTTATCTGTTTTTCCCATACATTCTTAAATGCATATGACAATGCCAGACTTAGAAGTTGCAATAATTAGTTAAAGTATAGTTTTTGACTGACTCTTTGAAGTCAGAACATAATTTGACCTGTTTAAAACAAAATACATTTAAATATTGAATATACCAAATAAACTTTTTTATATAATCCTCATTATTGTGACTTTAGGGGACCTTATTTCCTCTGTTTTTTATCTGGCTCTCCCATACATTTTTAAATCAATATGACAATACTAGACTTAAAAGTTGTAATAAGTTTAGTTTTGACTGACTCTTTGAGGTCAGAACATGATTTGACCTGTTAAAGTCAGTTTACAGAACAAAATTTCCAATCAAAGCTAGGTGTACTTCCTTTAATCCAAGAAAGTCCTTGCTTTCAGACTGCTTCTGAATCTGCCATTTTCGAGTTTATTATTTGATAAATTTTTAGAAACAATTAAGTCAAATGGTTATTTATTTTAGGGGATCTAAACATATATTTCCTGTGTCTTTTATCTGACGTTCCCATACATTCATTTAATATCATATGGCAATGCCCGGCTTAAATATTTCAATAAATTTATTTTAGTTTTGGACTGACTCTTTTAAGTCAGAACATGATTTGACCTGTTTAAAACAAAATACATTTAATATTGAATATACCAAATAAACTTTTTTATAGTCCTCATTATTGTGACTTATGGGGACCTAATTTCCTCAGTCTTTTATCTGGCTTACCTATACATTTTTAAATCAATATGACAATACTAGACTTAAAAGTTGTAATACGTTTAGTAAGTCAGAACATAATGTGACTTGTTTGAGTCAGTTTGCACAACAGTATTTACCTCAATGAAATATTAAAATAATAAATGTTTTGCTCTTAATACATTTAGCTTAAAGTGGATGAGAATATATCTTTTATTAACATAGTCTTATCATGAATAAGTGTCTTGTTTTTCCTTGGAAGATTTGAAGTATTGTCATGTAATGTATCCAATATAGTATTTTGTAAATCTTTTGATATTCAGAAAATTGTATGATCCATTTTTTCTCACCTGGTTTTTCTTTGTATTTTGAAATAATTGAAAGTGATGAGATAAATATATTATGTTTAGATTCTGGAAAGGAGAAGGTATGATGTCAGATGAGCCCCACTTTTTAAAACTCTTTAATTCGAAACTAGTAATCACCATATTTTTATGGAGATTGATAACAAAGTGGTAGTAATGACTGCTTCAAATCAGAACAAAAATGACCTCTCGAAGTCAAAATGCATTAAAAAGGGGCATAAATCTTATTAGAATATGAAGATATTAAGTCACAATATTTTGTGCAAAATCTGACCTGTGGAAGTCATTTTATGATAAATTAAAGTCTGACATAAACTGACCTGTACAAGTCATATTCTGTTGAGTGCAAGAAGGGAGACAACACTTACATCAAATTATATCTGACCTATGGAAGTCATTTTATTCTGACTTGTTTATGTCAGAGCTCTGACTGTATATATCAAGCGTTTATTTGAAAATAAATAAGTTTTTTTATTATACCGTGGCATTTAATTGGTTATCTTGGGATTTACTCATTCAAATCAAACTTGAAAAATTGTTAAATGGTTTCTGTAAGATAATTTCTTTCAGTCAGGGGTATTACTTGTACAAGTAATTTTTATTTACTTGAAGAAGTAATTATAATATACTTATATAAGTAAATTTGTAGGATACTTATACAAGTGTATTTTATTTACTTGTATAAGTAAATTATTTTTTGGCCTAGTTATGTTCCTTAGACATTCAGATTTTTTTACTTATACAAGTAAAATAGTCATCCTATCTTCTTTTCTTGAATTCTTAGAACTTCTTTGCTCTAATAGAATTTTGAATTGTCTGTCCTTTGCAGATGTCTTTACTATTCATTTAAGTGTAATTTCATGGACAATGAAAATCTCATTTGTCTGTTATCTTTAGAACACTGCTCATTTACAAGCCCCCAAGGAGCAATTTTTAAAGGCCTTGCGCAAATACTTAAGATCTTTGCTCAATCAGTTTCTTTGTTGAATTAATGAGATGAAACATTGAACTCTTATCAAAAATTATGAGCTAACCTGAGAAAAATTGTTAAAGGCATGATTTTACATCTCAAACCTTGAGAATTTTTGTGGGATTGTAAAAAAAATTTACTTATACAAGTAAATTTTTTTGAAAATTAAGGGGAGATTATTCAAACAATATAATTAACTTGTATAAGTATATTTTATTTACTTCTTCAAGTAAATAAAGATTACTTGTACAAGTAGTACCCCTGACTGTCTTTTAATACAGTTAACATATATATAAGTGTAATTATCAATTACCCTTATGACTTGTTCCATTGCCATCCACTAGTAAAACCCATGGATAAACAGCATTGTTTTTAATGAAATAAATTATACCAGTTCTATCATCAACAGAATAGAGATTTCCATTATATACCACGAGCTCAGACAACTCCATTCCTCGACCACCCTGAGACAAACTTGAAGTCAGAGTTACTGGTTTTTTATCCAGTACAACTGTAACTTTACTATGGTCACTTTTTAAGGTTAAATTTCCTGTCTGTAAATAACTTAGCCAGGTATTCTCTTTCTTTTTACTTTTCGATTCTGTATCTAAATCTGTGACCATGGCAATTTTGTAAGTAAGCCCATTCTCAGTAATGTAGGGTTTTGAAAGAGGATATCTGTTATCATATGCTACTGAACAGTCACATTTTTCCTTAGAACTATTTTGTGGTAAAATGTTGACAATTAAGATTAAAAAGGCAACAGTGAACAGCATGAAGTATGCAACTGTTCTGGTTTTCAAATGAAGTTTGGCGTTTCCAACTCTATATGGTGTCGGTCGACGTATTGCTTGCATCCAATCATGCACAGTTGACGGACTTGATAGCATTTTGATCCATCTGATGAGTGTTCATTCCTAAATTTTAATGTTTTTTTAAACACCTCTATCCGACGTGGCTAAAAGATGTCCATAATAAAATAGGTAAACAACTGAAATGTTCCAAAATACAAAAAAATCATAATCTTCTTAACGCTTAAATAATAAGGAAAAACAAAAATAAAGACTCGGATCCGAACAAATAACATATTTAAATTAAAACGACTATTTACTGATAATTAACGGTCTGAACGTCTGTAATTAGTTAAAAAAATGTATAACAATTTAGACTAACAGTTCTTGTAATAACATTTGATGATACTTTAAAACATTAAAAGCTCTGTTGGAGGTTTAGCTGGCTATAAAACCAGGATGGATCCACCATATTCTACTTCTACTTCTACCAATACGCGGCCACCATCAATAAGTTGATTTAGGATATTTTGCCACTTTTTGGATGCGCATTTAAAATTTAGACAAAAAAATTGATTTGAATTGTGCTATACATCATATATACAGTGAATTTAAAAACATCTTGGCGTTGATCTAGTTCATCTCATGCAGGTACTACCTGCATTGGTGGCAGTATGTGGTAGGGCCGCTTCCAGTCTCGTATCGTCCTTTGTTAAAAAGATTCCTTCCGCACTTCGGTCCTACAATATATATATTTTTTCTTCGGAAAGGGCCTGTTCCAAGTCAGGAATATGACAGTTTTTTTTTCACTTGTTCCGTTGATTGGAAGTTTTCACTGATTTTGTCAGTTTTTATGGAGTTCCCCTTTTTGAATTTGCTCGCTTGGAGTTCGGTACTTTTGTTATCTTTTTTTTTCTCAGTACGAATATTTTCTTTTTATCAAGTTAATATGGGGAAGAAACAGCGAAAAAGTGTGTGATTACACTTAATGACATTTGTCTGGTCGACAAGGACTATCCTTTTCTTCTAAGATGTGCCACAAGTCTGTCCCAGTTGTATTACAAACCTGAGACTGTTATAATAGTCTGTAGACTGACAAGTGCTGTCCCCTGGCTCGATACCTACGCTCAATATCGATCAGATTTGAGACATGTTTATCAGTCTGTAATAGTCTCTCTCAAATTTCCTGATTTGTAGTACTTCTCAAAACTATACGTATACTTTACTCAACCAGAAATTCATTTTAGTGTGATATCAACTTAATTTTTGCAAACTATGAAATAAGGAGACGGCAAAATAGCCTCTTAGGTATCACATACCTGAGACTGTGTCTGTCACAGTGGTATCACAAACCTGAGACTTATAATAGTCTTTCCCAGTGGTATCACATACCTGAGACTGTTATAAAAGCCTGTCCCAGTGGTATCGCAAACCCAGACTTATAATAGTCTGTTCCAGTGGTATCAGAAACCTGAGACTGTCATGAAAGTCTATCCTAGTGATATCACAAACTGAGACTGTCTGTATAGTCTAGTCCAGTGGTTTCACAAACCTGAGACTGTCATGAAAGTCTATCCCAGTGATATCACAAACCTGAGACTGTCTGTATAGTCTGGTCCAGTGGTTTCACAAACCTGAGACTGTGTCTGTCCTAGTGGTATCGCAAATCTGAGACTTATATTAGTCTTTCAACAGTGGTATCACAAACCTGAGACTGTTATAAAAGCCTGTCCCAGTGGTATCGCAAATCTGAGACTTATATTAGTCTGTCAACAGGGGTATCACAAACCCGAGACTGTTATAAAAGTCTGTCCCAGTGTTATCACAAACCTTAGACTATTATAAAAATCTGGCCGAGTGCTATCACAGACCTGAGACTGTTATAATAGTCTGTCCCATTGGTATTACAAACGAGACTGTAAAAATAGTCTGTCCCAGTCTAATCACAAACTTGAGACTGTCATAAAAGCCTGTCCTAGTTTTATCGCAAACCTGAGACATAATAGTCTGTCCCAGTGGTCACAGACCCGATACTGTTATAATAGTCTGTCCCAGTGGTATCATAGACCTAGAAGACGGTTACAATAGTATGGCCCAGTGGTATCACAAACCTGAGACTGTTATAATAGACTGTCTCAAATGTCCTGATTTGTAGAACTTCTCAATACTATACGTATACAGGGACTTTCTATACTAACGGGACTCATATCTATTGATTAGTTAGTGTAGAAAATCCCTGACGTATATTACTCAACCAGAAATTCATTTTAGTGTAATATAAACTATATCTTTGCAAACTATGAAATAAGGAGACGGCCTGTGGCGTAGCTCTTTATACGCTGTCACGCCATGGCGTACAAATCGCCGCGCCGGAGTTTAAAAAAATAATTGACGCCGGAAAATAAAACAAAAATACAACCAAGTAAAAAATATGAAATTTAAACCTTGCAAATTAGAAAACGATATTATATAATCATTACTGGCGCGTATCTCTATACTATCCGTTTCTGACTATGATCATATGATCATGGAACTTGATTCTCGACATCCGAAAACCGTTTTCATGCACAATATCTTCTTCCGCGTGTAGTTGCACAAATTACAAACGACCAAATTGTCACAATACACCAGACATACCAGATGGATATCGGTCTATCTTTGGAAGACTTCAAAAGATAGGTTGAACGCTGCCGACCTCGCTGTCGAATCCTACCTAGTGATAAAGTGCCGACAATACTGTGTCAAACGCTTCATATCGTTAATCCCGCACTCTATCCGTCTATTGATACAATATTGTATATTCTCTTAACAATGCCCGTTGCTAGTGCTACCACTGAAAGGTCGTTTAGCGTACTGAAACGTTTGAAAACGTACATACGTTCCACAATGAGAAATGACAGATTGTTGTCTTTAGGTTTAATGCACATCCACCGTGATTTTGAGGTCAATTTAGACAAGGCCATGAACGTTTTTGTTGCAGCTAGAAAACGGAGGGCAGATTTGGAAAATTTCTGATGTTTCTCAATAAAAAATGAGCAAATACAGTCTTACCAGAGACATATAATACATTATGTATTATATGTCTCTGGTCTTACTAATTCGCTTTTGAAACCAATTTGAGGCCCTTAGAACGCACCATTAATTTGCGTCTAGTAAAAAAAAAAATCCTGGCGTGCTCTTCAAATGGACCCATCTACGCCCCAGACAGCAAAATAGCCTCCTTATGCATGTTTTTTTTTGCCGACTTCGTCAAAATAGGGATTTGTATAGAGTTTTGCTATTTTGCCGGTATTATTTCACGGATTTTTTCCCCCAGACTAAATGAAATAAATTTCTACTGAAATCATTGACGTTCAAAAATGGAAGACTACACTTCGTTGTAAAAAAAAACCTGGAATAAATAGAATTATAAACAATATATTCAAAACCCTTTCCAACAAGTGTTATGTGCAATTCATGTCTGCAGTGGCAGCATCTTTCTTGTGTAAGACCGTAAAAACTGCACCAAGAGGAAGGCACTGGTTTTTTAACACTTGTAAGTATTTTGAGGTTGTTGAATTTTACCTTTAATTTCAAAACTTATGGGATATTTTTATTAAAATTTCTAATTAGAATATCAATTTTAATATGCATGATTTCCTCATGTATTATATGTTTGTAAAAGATATATATTTTTAGTGACTTCTTTTAACGAAGTTATATATATTTTTTTGTATCAAAGTGTATGCTTCTTTAATTGTGTCTTTCTGTTCTTAATTAAAATACAGAAAAATCTGATTTAAGATCTGTAAAATAGAAAAACTCTATAAATCGCTTATTTAACGGAGCCGAAAAAAGTGCCAAGAGGCTATTTTCCCCGGAACCGTTAAAATAGCACCTACCGTAGGCTATTTTGCCGGAGCTTGCGAAATAGCCACTGACATAAAATAATTCTGTCCTCTTTTGTTCATAACTCTCCTGATACTTACATCTCCTGATTACATATATGCATTAAAGCCACGGTAGTCTCAGATACCCCGGGCAGAGCAACTATAATCCAACAAACTCGTTGACTCTAAAAGTCCATAGATATTCCGTAAAGACTCAAAATGTCCAGCAAACATCCCTCTAGGGATGATTTATACCCTTTTTAGGAGTAAAAACTGTGATTGATTTATTCATATACCATTCAAAACACAGTTGTTTTTTTTTTAAACTTGTACCCGAATGGAATAAACTTTAATTTAGGTAATTTATGAAAGCGTCTGTATGATAAAATTTCGAAAGGTTCCGGTTCTCAGTGCACGTTGTTTTTGTTGTTGACTGTAATCTGGCAATAGTTTTACGTTTTGACTGCCTCAAATATGAGCCTAGGGGTGAAGAAAAATGAGGTATTTTATGAAATTTTACAAGATGATTAAAATTTTATTGTTTTCAACTCCCTTTTCTAAATATAACACTTTATTTTCCTGTAACTATTGCACTTTTCATTCTAAATTAAAACTGTGTCCGTTCTCCCATCGCGTTCGCTACGTATACGGGTTCATTGGCCCACATAATTTGATATTTTGTTTTGTTGTATAATCGTGTCATGATTTAAACAAGGATTTTATAATATTATGAGGTAGGACCTCTCTATTATGAACAACAATATCGTTATACCATGTTAGATGATTCAGAAAATTTTATTGCTTTATGTAAAGTGAATCTTGGAGTAACTTTCGAGTCAAATTTAAAGTTCGATAAAACATATAAGTAATATTGTTAATAAAGCACAGAGAGTTTTATCTCTAATTCATCATTCCTTTGACTACATGGATCAGGATATGTTTCTTACTCTTCATAAGTCAATTGTTCATCCACTGTTGGAATATGCTACATGTGTTTGGTCTCCGCAACTTAAAAAAGATATTCGTAAATTGAAATGATTTTGGTCTACAGAGTGTTACATGGGATTGATGATATCAACTGGATGAACCTATTTACTTTAGCACCATCTAATACAACTAGAGGTCACTCTTTAAAACTATATAAGAAACAGTGTAAGACGACACATAGACTAAATACTTTTCAATTAGAGTAGTGGATCAGTAGAATAACCTGTCAGATTTAACAGTGACGGCTAAGACTTTGAATAATTTTAAGTAAGCGTTACATGGCGAAAATTGGAACCCGTATAAATTTATACGTTCGTGTTAATTGTTAAGCTGCGCACACCTAAATAAGTTTTATTTTTTGATAAGTATATAATATATATATTATGCGATGAGAAATTGTATTACGACATTCCAAGATGAGGGGTCAGTAGAAGCCATTGGCTTATTTAAGGACCTGAAGATAAAGGTATAAAGTTATGTGAAATCCACATGTTCTGCATAACACTCGTAATGAGTGAATGTGTTGATTCCACAATCGACCCCCGTATTTGTGAAATCACCCATGAGGGGGTGCAGGTCGTTAACTGAGATCTGTTGTTATAATAGAGACACTGACTGCGATTACCTGAAAAAAGTTAAGAAGAAATAATTGTTGTTACTTCCAAGAGCAATTGTTGAAATGTAATTCTGGACAGGGACCAGATATAGGCACCTGGTTAAATCAATACGGTTACACCTGGTCAAATCAGCACCTGGTAATTATAGTACATTCAGCACCTAGTCAAATCGGGAGGGACCTAGTTAATTCGACACCCGAGGTAGTTATTTCAGCACTAACAATTAACATTATGTTTTGCAAGTAAACTATTGAAGACTGTTTTTCATGTTTTTTTTTTAATATTTTCACTTGAGGTGTCAACATATATTTGTTATGTGTAACAGAGGATTCAATGGAAACTTTGTTAAAAACAATGGGGCCATAATATCTGTCCCTATTGGATTTTATATCATAATTTATAAAGCAATCTCTATTTCATGAAAACTGCACATTTATACTAGTAAACATGGGCTACAAGATTGGTGCCAACGTTATTCATTTTATACATATAGACAGGAAATGCAGAAAAAAAAACAATTTAAATTACAATGATTAAATTATGAATAAGTTTTATCCTCATCTGTGGATTAAACAACAGCATGTGTAATGGCTTCTTTGTTTACTTTTTTTTTTAATTATAAAAGATCAAAAACTACCTGAAAATTGTTAAAACAACAAACAGGTTATTGTTTGTAATTGATATAAAATCATAAGTTTTTAAATTTAAAGTGCTAGCCAATCAAAACATTATTGATAAAATATTGAGAAAACTTCAAACAGAAAGCCATCTGATTATTGTTTATTGTGTATTCTTCCTGCTTAATTACATATGCTGAGTTTTGATGATGTACGAAATGAATCTCTGAAATTGTAAGTTTTGCAAAAAAATATATATTTAAAAAACCGAAAAAATATTCTCAAATAAAAAGGTAAGAAAACAGTAGAAATAATATTAGGTACCAGTTGAATTTTGAAATGAGGAAATGACTTTAAATATGTGCCGATTTGACTAGATGTAGATTTGACCAGGCGCTGATTTGACTTTTTCTATAGGTGACGAATTGACCAGGTGCTGATTTGATTTGAAACCCCAGATTTCATATGGAAATTGCAGGTAACAATAATTTTGTGTTTTATTGTTACCTCAGAATTTACTTAAAATTTGAAATAATGTCTTTTTTTGTGTATATCATCTTGATACTTTGTACTGTCTTACATGTAGTGTCATTTCCCAATATGTGTTGTTTTAGATATTTTAGAAATTTACATGAATAGAAAATTATTCATTCAGAACATAGCAATGATCAAATAAAAGCACAATTATGCATATTTAAAATTCTTTTAGCTTTTTATTTTGATGGCACTTCCTGCTCATTCAGTAACCTTTTGTTCTTATGTTGTGCTGTAATACCACTTTCCCAGGTTAAGGGAAGGGATGAGCGCTCACAAACATGTTCAACCCGGCCACATTCTGTAGTTCAGTGATTGTCATTGGTTCATGTCTGTCATATTTGTTTTTGGTAAATTGTCTTTTTTATATATTAGGCCGTTAGTTTTCTCAATTGAATTGTTTCATATTTTTCATGTCTGGGCCATTTATAGCCGACTATACAGTATTTTCTCATTGTTAAAGGTTGTACAGTTGCCTATAATTGCTTACATCCACTTCATTTGAACTTTGGTGGATAGTTGTCTCATTGGCAATCATACCACATCTCCTTATTTTTATATTAGGTACATGTAGCATTTTGAGGCAACACATTTCAGATGATACCACTTCAGACACCTGTCTCAAACAATATATCCATATATCATGTATATATGCACGTCTATACCGGTATAATCAGACACTGAGCTGTTCCATTCTGCTATATCCTTCTTCAGTGATATCTTGTTTTTTACAAGATTTTCTTCTGTATAACTGCACAAAATTTGCATCTTGGAACCATTGAAGTTTATCATTAAATTCTTGATAGGATATCAACTTTTCAACGACCACAAATTGGACATCTCTCTCATTTGCATCTGTACTTAACAATTTTGAATAGTTTTAATCGACCCCCTTTGGCAAAAGTTAAAGTCATAATGGTCAATACATCTGGAAGTTTAATCATGTAATCTTTTAAAATTATTTCACAGATTGTTGGCAAATCAACATTTTTTTAGATTGGTACCAGCTGCCTGAATATATTTTGCCAGTAAACAATAACTGCAGGCAACAATGAAAAAATGATAGTATTGTTACCTGCAATTTCCGTATGAAATTGGGTCCTGTCCGGAAATACTTTTTATACGACCACAAAAAACAAGCATTTTTCTAGTTTCATGACAATAACTTGTGTGTAAGTGTATGAATCTTTCTGAAATTGTACTACAAGGTTCCATATCACAAAGGGAAAGCTGGAATTGAGTTTGGGGGTAATTGCCCACAACCTTTAGGAATAAGGGGCCGAAAAGGGGCTAAAAATAAGCATTTTTCTAGTTTCCAGACAATAACTTGTGTTCAAGTGTATGGATCTCTCTGAAATTGTACTGCAAAGTACCATACCTCAAAGGGAAGGCTGGGATTGATTGTGGGGGTAATTGCCTGAAAATTTTAGGAATTAGGGGCGAAAAACAAGCATTTTTCTAGTTTCAGGACAATAACTTGTGTGTAAGTGTATGGATCTTTATGAAATTGTACTACAAGGTTCCATATCACAAAGGGAAAGCTGGGTTTGAGTTTGGAGTTAATTGCCCACAACTTTTAGGAATTTGGGGCCAAAAAGGGGCCAAAAAACAAGCATTTTTACAGTTTCCAGACAATAACTTGTGTTCAAGTGTATGGATCTCTCTGAAATTGTACTGCAAGGTACCATACCACAAAGGGAAGGCTGGGATTGAGTTTAGGGTGATGAATCATAAGGGGGTTCAAAAAATGGGGGGGGGGATTTTTTTTTCCTTTTTTTTTTCTTTAAAATTTTCCATTTTAAGTCGGTTATTTTTTATTTATATATAAAAGCAAATAATAATGACATGGTTTGATTTCATCAAAAATTGAAATATTGGGGTTCCTTGATATGCTGAATTTAACCGTGTATTTAGATTCTTAGTTCTTTATTAATCTTCTTTTTTATGCCCAACCTTCGATAGTAGAGGGGCATTATGTTGTTTGGTCTGTGCGTCCGTTCGTTCGTCCGACTGTCTCACTTCATGTTAAAGTTTTTGGTCAAGGTAGTTTTTGATGAAATTGAAGTCCAATCAACTTGAAACTTAGTACACATGTTCCCTATGATATGATCTTTCTAATTTTAATGCCAAATTAGAGTTTTGACCCCAATTTCTTGGTCCACTGAACATAGAAAATGATAGTGCGAGTGGGGCATCCATGTACTATGGACACATTCTTGTTTTATCATAGGTTGTTTCTTTCATGTTTCTCATTGTAAGTCTGATGATATTGAAGCGAACCACCAATTAGCGCAAAATTATATAATTAATAACAGTTTATGATTTTTACAATATTGTTTTTTTGAACATTTAGTAGTACAAACATGACAAACAGTATATCAAGTTTGCAGAACTTAAAAAATAAAAAAAATTATTTAAATCCTTCCTCTAATGTTTAAAGAAAAACACAAAAACTTTGTTTTGGCTTCAATATATAGACAGATCTAAGAGTTATAATTTTGCAGAGACAAAACTTGTGAATCAATGTATACATGTATATATTGTCATTAACTGTTAAATTAAGATAAAACTCAATACACACATTACATTTATATAATTACACCCGGTAGGAAATGTCCTGATTTTCATCTATAAGATCAGAATAAGAAAAATTCTGATGAAGGGCCATATATACATTGTACATTACTCCTGTCAAGTTTGGTTACAATTAGAAGAAACTTAAAAAGTTCAATGGATAGAATAATGGAAAACTGACACCCAGTGATTGCAATAGCTTATCTTTTGGCCAGATGAGCCACAAAGTTTAAGTAGGTCTGGACAAAATGAAATGAGAACTAAGAATTCAGCCAAGATAAACAGGGTGACAATTTGTAGTGAAAATCTATGAGAACATTGAGTTAACTTTTCCAACCATTGCATGTCAAATGTGTCCTCTTAATCTTGTCAAAATATTAAATAAAAAAAAAAAAAATTATTTGAAAAAAAGTACGACTAGATGATTCTGCTCATTTAACAAATTATAAAATGATATTGTATTAAAAATTTTCTATTGATAAAATTATAACAATGAAAAAATGTACACTTGCAAAGCTATCATACACAGACATTTAGAAAAAAAAGATTAACTTTCCAAATGTCTTAGCGAATCCATAAAAGATATTTACAGCTGTGTGCAGGTATGTGCAATTTAAGATTTCTTGGCAGAAATTGAGAATTATAGCTGAAAACAGCAGCTTGAACAGTTGTTTAAGTGTGTGATTAGGTTACACAGGCGAGATATCTCTGGGTTTAGCTTTTTTATGTATAATTTTACAGGTCAAACAGATTACGGAAGCATTAAAGAAATTGACTAAGACCTCAGATGAATTGTTAGATGAAGTAGCAGACATAAATCTTCAGTTTACAGTAAAGAAAATTCCTAAACTTACAAACAAAACCATTAAAATGTAAGAAAATTATAATTTATTTATTTAAATAAATGCTGTTTTATAGAATTGGCATTTATAATAACATCATTACATGCATTATAATATGTGTAAGGTTCCTATTTGATTTCACATTTTTATGCCCCCGCCGTAGCAGTGGGGGCATTAAGTTTTACCCTTGTCCGTCCGTACGTACATACGTACGTCCCACAATTGGTTTCCGTTCTCTAACTTGAGTTTGCCTTAACCAAATGTTATGAAACTTATACACAATGCTTATTACCACAAAACACAGATCAAGTTTGAATTTTGGTGGCGTCACTTTAACCATTCTAGAGTTATGCCCCTTTATAAATGGAAAAATTGCAAAATGTTTAGTTTCCGCTCTCTAACTAAGTTTGCCTCAACCAAATGTTATGAAACTTATACACAATGCTTATTACCACAAAACACAGATCAAGTTTGAATTTTTGTGGCGTCACTTTAAACGTTCTAGAGTTATGCCCCTTTATAAATGGAAAAATTGCAAAATTTTTAGTTTCCGTTCTCTAACTTAAGTTTGCCTCAACCAAATGTTATGAAACTTATATATAATGCTTATTACCACAAAACACAGATCAAGTTTGAATTTTGGTGGCGTCACTCTAACCGTTTTAGAGTTATGCCCCTTTATAAAATGGAAAAATTGCAAAATTTTTATTTTCTTCTAAATATCAAGTTATTTTTAAAATTGGAGTTATCTTCCTTTGTCCATGATTATAGTTGAATCAACTAAAATCAATGCTTTATACAATGCAATGTTTAATTTTGACTTCCACTGATAAAACACAAATAATAATAGATCAAGTTGAATTTGGGTAGTGTCACTTTAACCATTATTGAGTAATGCCCCTTTATAAATCGAAGGATTGCAAAATTTTTAGTTTCCATTCTGTAACTTAAGTTTGCCCCAACCAAACATGAAACCTATACACAATATTCATTACCAAAAAACTAAGATCAAGTACTGTACAAATTTTTTGTTTCCGTTTTCTAACTTTAGTTTACCTCAACCAAATGTTATGAAACTTATACACAATGCTTATTATTACATAATACAGATTAAGTACGAAATTTGGTGGCGACACTTTTACCATTCTTGAGTTATGTCTCGTTCTAAACATAAAAATTGCTGAATTTTTCGTTTCTGTTCTCTAACTTTAGTTTGTCTCAACCAAATGTTATAAAACTTATACACAACCGTTCTAGAGTTATGCATGTTTACAAATAGAAATATTGCTGAATTTTTAGTTTCTGTTCTCTACTTAAGTTAGCCTCAACCAAATGTTATGAGACTAACACACAATGCTTATTACCACAAAACTCAGATCAAGTTCAAATTTGGGTAGCGTCACTTTGACCGTTCTTCAGTTATTTCAGAAATTCTGTAATGTCATGAATGTCATTGTCACTAATCTGCCCTTCAAAGGGCACCTTGATTGGTTAATAAAATTATCTGTATCTACATCCAGTTCATTGTAGATAATACAAACATTATACTTATTACATTTATAAAAATAGAATAAATATACATTTTTTGAAATATGAAATGTATTTCACAAATTTTGTCTAAGGCTTTAGAGTATAGAAACAGGTAGAATGTTGTCATGAAATAGAAGTTCCATCATGATATAAGTTCCAAGTGGAAAAAATATTCTGTAATATTATTTCCACTGGAACAAATATTTGTAACTTATGGAATAAAGGTTATAGAAGATCTGTTCCAACAGGAACAGGAACAGATATTATGGCATAGTTTATAACAAAGTCTCCAGTGGAACTTCTGTTAGGCGGAACAAATATACGTTTACATGTGAAGCATTTCTATCCTGTTTCAATCCAAGAAAATATATTTGCCACAACTTATAAAGCTGAAAATATTGTTTCAAATCAGCTAGTAAACCTGATATTTTTAGTGCTTTTACTAGAATTTGTGGGACAAGTTTTAATTTAGATTATAATTATTCTAGTAAATAAAAGTAAGGTAGTTATTTTGAATGTAGATGTATATGATGATTAAATGTTTTTCAGAAAACTACCACATGGATTACATAAAAAGAACACAGAAGTCTGTTTATTTGTTAAAGATGTAGATAAAAAAAGTAGAGAGCATGAATTAACATCAGATCATTTCAAAGATTTACTCAAGAGTAAAGGGGTCACATGTATTTCAGAGGTAACTTTCAACTTTTTCTTATGATTTTACATCATAATACATACATATTCAGAAGGGATATAGTTATGATACTGTTGTCAGGTCATTAAAGATGGCATATTTTGGTATTAATATTGATTTACTCTTAGGGTCTTAAGCTTTGCATCAGAAATAAACACATTTATTCTAAAACCAGTTGTTGGCATGATACAGGTTATGTTCTTCTCATATATTTTATGGTGGTATGATACTAAACCCCTAACGGGAGGGATTGTGCTTGATTTTCATATGATGAAGACATAATCTTTCAATCAGTTTGATTGAGGTCTGGAGCTGGCATATCAGTAACTGCTAGTAGTCCTTTGTTAATTTATGTATCATTGTCATTTTGCTTAGTTTCTTTTTTTTTTACCTATTCTGACATCGGACTTGGACTTCTTTTAAACTGAGTTTTACTGTGCGTTTTGCTGTGTGTTTGTTTATTCTACATTGGCTAGAGGTATAGGGGGAGGGTTGAGATCTCACAAAACATGTTTAACCCCGCCTCATTTTTGCACCTGTCCCAAGTCAGGAGCCTCTGGCCTTTGTTATTCTTGTATGTTTTTTTAATTTTAGTTCATTTATATGTTTTGGAGTTTAGTGTATTGTCCATTTTTATTGAACTAGTACACATTTTTGTTTAGGGGCCAGCTGAAGCCCGCCTCTGGATGCGGGATTTTCTCGCTGTGTTGAAGACCCATTGGTGACATTCGGCTGTTTTCTGCTCTTTGGTTGGGTTGTTGTCTCTTTGACACATCCCCATTTCCATTCTCAATTTTATGTATACATTAAACTACAATGTACATGTAAATAGCATTTGATATTATCTAATTAACACTAGTATATATGTTGAACTAGAAGGCATTTGATATTATTGTCTTTTGAGATTTATGAATATCTGACTTTTGAATTATGTTGTTTTTTATACGACCGCAAAAAAATTTTGTGGTCGTATATTGGTATGACGTTGGCGTCGTCGTCGTCGTCGTCCGGCGTCGTCGTCCGAATACACATTGGTTTTCGCACTCTAACTTTAGTTTAAGTGAATGGATCTCTATGAAATTTTACCATAAGGTTCAATACCACAAAAGGAAGGTGGGGATTGATTTTGGGGGTTATGGTACCAACAGTTAAGGAATTAGGGGCCAAAAAGGGGCCAAAAATAAGCATTTTTGTAACTTCCAGACATAACTTGTGTGTTAGTGTATGGATCTCTCTGACATTGTACCACAATGTTCCATATCACAAAGGGAATGCTGGGATTGATTTTGGGGGTAATTGCCTCCAAATTTTAGGAATTAGGGGCCAAAAAGGGGAAAAAAACAAGCATTTTTCTAGTTTCATGACAATAACTTTTGTGTAAGTGTATGGATCTCTCTGACATTGTACCATAAGGTTCCATATCACAAAGGGAATGCTGGGATTGATTTTGGGGTAATTGCCTCTAAATTTTAGGAATTAGGGGCCAAAAGGGGCAAAAAACAAGCATTTTTCTAGTTTCATTCCAGTAACTTGTGTGTAAGTGTATGGATCTTTATGAAATTGTACAACAAGGTTCCATATCACAAAGGGAAAACTGGAAGTGATTTTGGGGGTAATTGCCCACAACGTTTAGGAATAAGAGGCCAAAAAGGGGCAAAAAATAAGCATTTTTCTAGTTTCCAGACAATAACTTGTGTTCAAGTGTATGGATCTCTCTGAAATTTTAATGCAAGGTACCAAACCACAAAGGGAAGGCTGGGATTGATTTTGGGGATAATTCCCTAGAAATTTGAGGAATAAGGGGCCATAAAGGGGCAAAAAAACAAGCATTTTTCTAGTTTCAGGACAATAACTTGTGTGTAAGTGTATGGATCTTTATGAAATTGTACTGCAAGGTTCCATATCACAAAGGGAAAGCTGGGTTTGAGTTTGGGGGTAATTGCCCTAAATGTTTAGGAATTTGGGGCCAAAAAACAAGCATTTTTCTTGTTTCCAGACAATAACTTGTGTTCAAGTGTATGGATCTCTCTGAAATTGTACAGTTCATACATGTGAACCTCCCGACGGGAGTACAATAATCCCGTTTTCAGGGGTCTCCTCCCGACCTCCAGTTGAAGACAAAAAAATCCTGTGTATGAAATATTTCATGAATGAAAAATTTCAGCCCAACATATCTGGTGTAACTGACATTACTGAAGTTATATTTTACCTGCAAATCAATTAAAATGCATAATTATATGGCCTCACTTGTCACCTTGGGTGTCAAACATACTGGTAATAAACGATTTTTACCTCAGGCTAACTGCCGTTGTGTAATAAAACTTTGTTTATTTAAAATGAATGTTAGGTTACTTCCCTTGATTTATCCTGTTTTAAGTTATTTTCCTTTAAATAATGTAAATTTTTAAAAGAATATAAATAAAATATAAATTGAACAAATAATCATAAAAGGATGGAAATTAAATGATTTTAAATGTTTTAGGACAAATAAAAAAATAATAATTTGAAAATTATTTGAGGATTCTATACTTCCTTTAAAGGCTTAAATTGAAATTTATATAATAACTATGACCCATGTTTACAGTTTGAATGTGTTACTTATCATGCATTATAAATCTACTTGCATAAAGATAAAAATAAAAGATCTACTTGCAGATAGATAAGCAAATGTTCTGATTGCAATGAATAATGGGAAGAAAGATATGACCTAAAAAATTTAAAGAACATACTGAAAAAGAAGAATGTTAGATTGAACAAGTTGAAAGTTTAAAAAGATAGAGAAAATTTATAAGTACAAAGGTACTATAAACATAATACATTCGGATGGAAAGTTGAAGAAAACACACTTTAACAGACAATTTCTACAGAACACGGTTACATTTACGACAGAATTTATGTCGATTAAAAACATCCTGATCTGAGTCCTAATCTCCAAAACTCCTGATCTTAGTTTCACAGTCCATCACATGTATGTGTACTGCAAGGTACCATACCACAAAGGGAAGGCTGGGATTGAGTTTGGGGGTGATGAATCATAAGGGGGTTCAAAAAATTTGGGGGGGGGGATTTTTTTTCCCTTTTTTTCTTTAAAATTTTCCATTTTAAATTGGTTATTACTGATTTATATATAAAAGCAAATAATAATGATATGGTTTGAATAGATAAATTAAAAAAATTTAAGTTCTTAGACCACATTTATTCTGTGTCAGAAACCTATGCTGTGTCAAATATTTAATTACAATCCAAATTCAGTGCTGTATCAAGCTTGAATGTTGTGTCCATACTTGCCCCAACTGTTCAGGGTTCGACCTCTGCGGTCGTATCAAGCTGCGCCCCAGCGGAGCATTTTATTTCTCAATGCATTTAGACCTAATGGGAAACTTTTTTAATACCCTGGTAAATGACAAAGAAATCTGGAAAGATAGTCATTTTTTGTGTATAACACACAGTAGACACAGATGAGATATGAAATTAGCTATCACTTATAAAATTTGAATTTTTATTTTGTAACTATTTTGAAGATTTATAGAACAGACTTTAAAGATAGTACATACAATACAGTATTTATGATTATATTCAAGAGACAAATTCAACATAGACTTATTTGAATTGTCATGTTTGTTTAGTAATTAAATCTGAGCAAGATAAAAGAATAAAAAAAAATCAATATTTGTTTCCTCCATTTATATATACATATATCTTTGAAGTCGAATTCTTGTCATATTTAAACAAGCACTATGCGAAGTCTGCTGGCTAGATCAGTTGATGATTCTTTATGTTATCTCTACATTACAGATTATTCCATTGAAGTCTTTGAAACTAGAATATAAACCATATGAAGCCAAAAGAAATCTTTCACAGAATTTTGATTTGTACCTAGCAGACAGCAGAATTGTCAGATTACTACCATCATTACTAGGCAAAAGTTTTTATGGGAGAAAAAGGTAACATATATATGTTTCTCATGTTCCTTATCAAACTTTGACATTTATTTGTAACTTATGCAGAGTATAAGTGTTGTTTATTCAGACAGGATGGTTTCTTCCATGAGATAGGGCAGTCGATTCCATTATAAGGTCAAAGGTCATGCCTAATTTGGTCTGTCTGATATCAAGGATTAGGTTCTCAGATTACAATTGCAGGCTGCCAGCTTCTCACTTTTGATTTTGCTGTTGAATACAAAGGACGTTTACTCAATAGGAATAAGTTTTCAATTTCATTTTACAGTTTTACTAATTACACTGATTTTCTGCTGTTAAACTTGAGACTTTATTGTGGAAGATTGTCTGGACTGGAAATCGGATTTATATAACTTTATTTTCATTCTCCTGCCTTGGAGACACAAGGTATTTTACACGACTTTATTTCCTAAGTGTGATTACGATTATTCAGAAGAACTGTAGACAATTCTTTAAAACCTCATCGTAAATTAGTGATATTCATTGCAGTTTAAATTCGTCTTTCCAATCACTTTTTGACACTCAATATTGGACTATTATTTCCCGAAATTTGAGAACTTGAATCAGTTTTATTAAACAGTTTCGTAATTTTACGGCTATAAAAACTTCAGTAAATAACATGGCTTCTTCAACCAGACGTAACCGTCGTTCAAGAAACAGACAACATCCATATAACAACGAAGAAAATGCAACACAAAGCTCGCAATGGGATATGGAAAATCCAGAAAATTGGACAGGTGCAAGATTTCGGGACGAATTACGGAAGTTAGGAATTAACATTCCAAAAAGCTGGTCTAAAACAGTACTTAAACAACTGTATCTAGACAACAAGGAGCGCCTATGCACTGACGAAATTCGAGAAGGTGCAACCGTCGCAGCGGATGACCATATTAGGCAACCGAGAGAAGTACTTCAAGACCCGCCCACAGATGAAAGAAGTTCCTCCCCATCACCGCGCATGGATAGTTTTCATGGCACTTTTTATAACATTCAATACTTTTATAGATTTATTTCACAAAACTTTAATTGATTGTATCTCTGAAAGTATAAAAGTAGCATATATAATTTTTTTTTAATTCAGAAATTTTAGAAGCAATTTGGCAACTTCTTCAAACCCCGCCCTGCTGAAAAAATTGTCTTTTTCAGTCTATTTTTATACGACCGCAAAAATTAAAAAATTTTTGGTCGTATATTGGTATGACGTTGGCGTCGTCGTTGTCGTCTGGCGTCGTCCGGCGTCGTCCGAAGACACAATGGTTTTCGCACTCTAACTTTAGTTTAAGTGAATGGATCTCCATGAAATTTTACCATAAGGTTCAATACCACGAAAGGAAGGTTGGGATTGATTTTGGGGGTTATGGTACCAACGGTTAAGGAATTAGGGGCCAAAAAGGGGCCAAAAATAAGCATTTTTGTAACTTCCAGACAATAACTTGTGTGTAAGTGTATGGATCTCTCTGACATTGTACCACAAGGTTCCATATCACAAAGGAAAGGCTGTAATTGATTTTGGGGGTAATTGCCTCAAAACTTTAGGAATTAGGGGCCAAAAAAGGGGCAAAAAACAAGCATTTTTCTAGTTTCATGACAATAACTTGTGTGTAAGTGTTTGGATATTTCTGAAATTGTACTACAAGGTTCCATATCACAAAGGGAAAGCTGGAATTGAGTTTGGGGGTAATTCCCCGAAACGTTTAGGAATTGGGGGCCAAAAAGGGGCCAAAAATAAGCATTTTTCTAGTTTCCAGACAATAACTTGTGTTCAAGTGTATGGATCTCTCTGAAATTGTACTGCAAGGTACCATACCACAAAGGGAAGGCTGGGATTGAGTTTGGGGGTGATGAATCATAAGGGGGTTCAAAAAATTTGGGGGGGATTTTTTTTTTTTCTTTTTTTTTCTTTTTTTCCTTTTTTTTTTCTTTTAAAATTTTCCATTTTAAGTTGGTTATTTCTGATTAATATTTAAAAGCAAATAATAATGATATGGTAGGAGATACACACCAAACAGGATGTGTAAATTATTATCTAATAAGTATTGTGCAATAGCAAGAAATTTTCAATTGCACAGTATTGCACAATAGCAAGAAATCTTCAATTGCACAGTATTGCGCAATAGCAAGAAATCTTCAATTGCACAGTATTGCGCAATAGCAAGAAATATCCAATAGCAAAATATTGCGCAATTGCAAGAAATTGTCAATTGTACAGTATTGCGCAATAGCAAGAAATATTCAATTGCACAGTATTGTGCAAAAGAAGATACTTCGTATAAATTGCTTATTTCTTGATCAATTTCAATGGGGTTTTATTCTTGAATTCTTGGGGTTCTTTAATATGCTGAATCTAACCGTGTATTAATTTTTGGATTTTGGGCCCCGTTTTTAAATTGGTCCACATTGAGGTCCAAAGGGTCCAAAATTAAACTTTGTTTGATTTCAACAAAAATTGAATATATGGGGTTCTTTGATATGCTGAATCTAACCATGTATTTTGATTTTTGATTTTTGGGCCCCGTTATCAACTTTGTCCACATTGAGGTCAAAAGGGTCCAAAATTTAACTTTGTTTGATTTCATCAAAAATTGAATTATTGGGGTTCTTTGATATGCCGAATCTAACCGTGTATTTAGATTCTTAATTTTTGGTTCCGTTTTCAAATTGGTCTACATTAAGGTCCAAAGGGTCCAAAATTAAACTTAGTTTGATTTTAACAAAAATTGAATTTTTAGGGTTCTTTGATATGCTGAATCTAAACATGTATTTAGATTTTTGATTATGGGCCCAGTTTTCAAGTTGGTCCAAATCGGGGTCCAAAATTAAACTTTGTTTGATTTCATCAAAAATTGAATTCTTGGGGTTCTTTGATATGCTGAATCTAACCATGTATTTAGATTTTGGATATTGGACCATAATAGGTGAATGTCCAATTTAAAATTTTTAAGTTCTTAGACCACATTCATTCTGTGTCAGAAACCTATGCTGTGTCAAATATTTAATCACAATCCAAATTCAGAGCTGTATCAAGCTTGAATGTTGTGTCCATACTTGCCCCAACTGTTCAGGGTTCGACCTCTGCGGTCGTATCAAGCTGCGCCCTGCGGAGCATTTTATTATTAATTTTATATGACAGTACCAGGTGAAATTGGCAGAACTGTGTTTCTTTGTCATTCAATTATTACCTTGTAGTGATATCAACCCATCCATGATGACTGGAAGTAAATTAGACTTCATTGTCTTGGCTGAGAAACATTGATGGCAAACCAGTATAAAAATTTGAAAATGTGGTATAAATGCTAATAAGACAATATCCATAAGAGACCAAATCATGTCTGTTCTTACATATTGCTGACAAAATAGGGACCTAGTTTTTACAGACCATAATTTTTCTGGTCGTATTCTGGAAGCTATTAAACCAAGAGTTCCAAATGGTAAAGTTGAAACCATCTCTTCGTAAATTTTACGGACACCATCACGAGTTGGTTGACCGTTATGGAATAACCGTTTCACAGATGATATCGGATATGTTCTTTATGTCGTAATTACAATCCACTTCCTCTTTCACCACGAATGTGACCTACCGAATTAGACTATTTACCGGATTTGTAATAACATGAGCAACACAACGGATGCCACATGTGGAGCAGGATCTGCTTACGCTTCCAGAGCACCTGAGATCACCCCCAGTTTTTGGTGGGGTTCGTGTTGCTTAGTCTTTAGTTTTCTATGTTGTGTCTTGTGTACTATTATTTGTCTGTTTGTCTTTTTATTTTTTAGCCATGGCGTTGTCAGTTTATTTTCGATCTATGAGTTTGACTGTCCCTCTGGTATCTTTCGCCCCTCTTTTATACATCCTTGTGTTTCTGGCCGTATTATACATCCTTGTGTTTCTGGCCGTATTATACATCCTTGAGTTTCTGGCCGTATTATACATCCTTGAGTTTCTGGCCGTATTATACATCCTTGTGTTTCTGGCCGTATTATACATCCTTGAGTTTCTGACTGTATTATACATCCTTGTGTTTCTGGCCGTATTATACATCCTTGTGTTTCTGGCCGTATTATACATCCTTGTGTTTCTGGCCGTATTATACATCCTTGTGTTTCTGGCCGTATTATACATCCTTGTGTTTCCGAACTATGGATGTATTTGGGATTATAGTAAATACCTACTGCCTAGACCAATAATGCCTTGGATTATAGTAATTACCTACTGCCTAGACCAATAATGCCTGGGATTATAGTAAATACCTACTGCCTAGACCAATGATGCCTGGGATTATAGTAAATACCTACTGCCTAGACCATTAATGTAGTAACCACCGAACATGATTTTGGCTACTTTTTCACAGTTTTCAAATTTTTATCCTCTGACATAAAGTGCATTAAGGTTTTCCTTTTTTCATGACAAGTCCTCTGGAAAGGGTTTATGTACCATGGATTGCAAGACTGAACTACCTGCTGTCAATTCAGTTGAGCTGGGGCATTTTAAATATGTATTGAGGGCCATATGGGCTGTAAAAGAATGGCTGATACTATCACGACTACATACAGAATTTGGGGAAAACAGGTTAAGTTTGATTGTTTGATTGTTGCTTTCTTTACCTTCAGTGACCAAATTAAGTTTGAAGGTTAGTAAAAAGAAATTGAGTCAACAAAAATAACTTTTGCTAAAATTGTTAGGCTTTTTCAAGTATTTTAAGCACGTAAGAAATTGGTCGGAAGAGTTAGAAAATATAACATAGAGAAATTGGATGAGCTGTCAAAATTTTTCTATGCTTTTACAAGTGATAAAAAGAATGTTTATTTATCTTATCAAACTGACTTCCATCTGACATGACCATGAAACAGCATGAAATGCTCTAAAATCTGGCAATATATACATTAGTTTAATCATTCCAAATACAAAATGATCTTTTGCAGTCTACTGTGGATTCATTTATTTTCGTGGGTATCAATTTTTGTGGATAGAGAACAAAAGACGTTTC